ACAAATTGTCTTGGGAAAAAGCACAAGACCTCAGCAGATAAGTGATGTGCCTAAAGTTAAGCCTGTACTTATGTTTCATTAAAATAATTTAAACATAAGCATGTGCTTGTCTCAATGGGGGCTATATAATATTGTAATTGAAGTGGTAAAAAAAATCACTTCAGATTATAAACAGGCCAGACAAGCTAAATATAAATTTACGCATTCTTTTTAAGCCACACTGGTCTTGTCCTTGATAGAAACAAAACAAGTTTGGTCTTAATTCCCATCACAAACTGGAAAGTCAGTAAACTGTGATGCTGACTAAAGTTACATGAGACCACATCATTTATGTTCGGTTGTGAACTGATGTAATACAAATGAATTACAGAACTCCGTCGGGCCAGATTAAAATCAAATACAACTATAGAAAATTAATGAGTATCAGGGGGAAGGAGGGAAAGAGGACAGGAAGTCATGAAAAGTGGAAGTACCAGATACAAAAAAGGAAGTCAGTTACTTTCTATTCTCAGAGTAGTAGGCCACACTAACATAGAAGTTGTACTAATAGTTACCGGAAAAGCAGCAACAAGACCCCAGCAGGTTTGATAGTGTTAGACTAGACCTTAACAACGTTGTCAAAAATGAACGAATGCAAAAAGTTGCCATCTTGAAGTCATCAGTAATTTATATTTATTGGATTTTACACAGTTCCAACTCGTTACTGTTAGTAGTAATAAAATTCTAGTTATTTTTGGTAAACGCCATTCACTCTGAACGGAGAAAAAAAAAAATAGCACCTTACCATGTACTTTTAAGCACAAGTCCCAGGAAGGTGATGCCAGGAACAACTAAAATCTACGGAACAGAAGTAGAGTGGGAAACAGGACAAGTTATTCAGATTTGATTTATCCTAAGTGTAGGATTCATTCCATGCATTACCACAGTGCATCTGTCTACAGTGAACACTCCACATATGAAGCAGTGTGTTTTCATGATTAATCCTCTGTCAGCAGCCATGAAATATCACACTGGAAGCAGTCAGATGTCGTCTTGGTCATTCATTAAACAGACTGAAACAAACTATTATTTTTTCAAATGAGCTTAATAATGAGGAATTCAATGCAAAAATTAAGTTCTCTTGTAGTTCTGAGAGCTCTGTTTATTAGCAAGTTCCAGGTGATTTGTTTTATATTCTGGTATGGTTATTGGTCCAGCTACAAAGGTGCTACTATACAAGTCTGGCAAGGACAACAACTCAGACTGGAAATAAGTATACAATCTTAGCCCTGAAGGAGTTGGAACCTCATTTCTGGCAAGTGGCTTTAGTTCAGAACTTTATTTAGATTCTCTCTCATGATAGGCATAAAGTAAAACTGTAGCAATTTTATTGTTAAATGCCATTAGTCTATTGCTTTTCAACTCAACAGTGAAAGTGGTAACAAATGTTGTACATCAACTCACTATTTCTAAATATTCATAATCCATTTCAGAGCATAATCTAATATGAAAATCATGTCCCAAAAACACAGCTTAAAGATTCTGAACTTCTCCAGCACATTGGTGATAGAAGACAGCCTTCCATTCCTAGGTCATTTCAATCCCATAGCTGTTTGGCAGTCTATATGAAATGCATTTGTAGTCTCAATCCAGTTCCTAATAAACAGGCACCCACATTACAAGAAGTTACACTCAGTTAGCCATCTGAGAAAACAAATGCTTGCTTACCACTGGAAGCAGTTCTCTTCCAGACTAGAGCTTTGGCATAGAGATGGTAAGTTTGTCCCGCTGCTGGCAACTTGTGTTTCAAACATCTTCTATATAAGACTGCACATGTCAATCACCAGCACAGTTAATCTGCATTTCTTATAAGTACTAAATCCATTCTGTAAGTCTCCAAATGTTTTCCTGGATCTGACATTTTAATTGTAATTGTGATTTAATTTAAATTTTTCATATTGCAAATTAATGAACCAGGAAAGGATTTACCAGGTGTCTGCAACAGATAGTCTAGCATAAGGTGCTGAATATATACACAAACTATATTTGTCAGATATATTTAATAAATATTATACTTCAAAAGTTATTGCCCTCACAAAACAATTTTACCCACAAAACAATTTTTGCATCTCCCATCCTATTTCTCTTTTGAATACACAAAAGCTTACATCTGTTACAAAACCCATTTCTGTATAACCTCACATAGAACTTTTAAATTTGTTTAATCTAATTATTAACACCGCCAATCAGAAATACATTGCTGTGAACTTTTGAATCTGCGCTTCCCCAAACAAAACATTCTTCTGTAAAACTGCATTTATAACAACTGGCACAACTGGTTGTGTTCCCAATTGCAAACTTGCTTGTGTACATAGCCCTTTGAAATACAAGTATATAGTATTAAAACTGGTATTTGTGTAAATAGATTTCACATTATTTATGTATTAGTTTAACCTAAGCAATAGCTTCACTTAAAAATATTGGTTTGAGTGGAATATATAGAGAGTATTGAAGTTATCTTCCGATGAAAGCATGTAACTTGAAACCATAGGTTTTCCCTTTCCCCTAGTGTGAAGATTTGTCCCTGCTGGGACTTTAACTCAAAAAAGCAGCAACTCAACCACTTGAGGTTAAAAAAAAAAATTAAAAAAAAAAATCTTTATTTGCTGCCAGGCATAGAAGCTCTTGCATCCTTTTTTCAGGCCTCCAGCCACTAAAGGATGTGATTATTACATGAAAGTCAGTGTGTACACATTATTTTCGCTATAGCAGACTAAAGCTTTTTCTAGCACCATAGTTATGGATTAATGTACACAGACACCATCTATTAAGTACTAATATCTATATCTAACTCTTCCCCCCCCACACACACACACACTCAAGTAAACCCCACTTGAACACACAGAATATCAATCAAAGAAGCAGCACATTAAGAACTCACACCATATGGTTATGCATCTCAAACACAATGAGTGTAAGTGGAAAACCCAGGTGAAAGCAACTTCGGAATATAATATGAATAAGAACTGCAATGATAGGAAATTTCTGATGCTCTATTACAGATGTTGGATGTTCAGGGAATGGAAGTGAACAAAACCAGTGAGATTAGGAGAAACTCTTTATAAACAGACTAAGGGAAGAACTTTAATACTAATTGGGAACTGTCTCCACAACACATACACTAACAAGAAGAATGTTAGATTAATTAGAAATGTATAACCCTGGTTTTGGATACAGGGGACAAGAAGATTAATACTGTAAAATAAATCACTAAAATGACACTGCCTCTACATGATCAACTTAGTTTCTTTTCAGGGTTGCACTTATCCAATGTGTGCTTTTGAAATTACCTAGCTTAAATCTCTCAGCTTGCTACAAAAAAAAAAAAAAACCTCTATATATGGTTTTTACAGACTGGCTGAGTTCTGGCCTCATTTACACCAGCACAAGCTAAGAATAACTCCAGTAAAACCAATGGAGCGATTCTGGATTTACAGAGAGCAGTATTTGGCTCCACTGTTTTCACCCCTTGCTGAACAACCTGTCCACTAGAGGAAAACCTTTCACCCAATGAGAAAGCATAGCCATTAAAGCAGAGGAAAAAGTTAAAAAGATCTGCTCGTCAGACTGTCTTCCCTTCAACTTTGTTTATTGATGTACTGAACATGAAAAAGTACAAAGGATCCAAACACAAAAGAAAACATGTACAGCCTCTTAAATACTAAACAGAATATATTTTCTATTCCAACAGATGTGAAGTAATACTGTACAACTTCAAATAAATACCAGCCTTACATTTTATTAAGTGCTCTGATAAACACTGTAAAGTGAAGCCCAATTTACATGCCTTCTCATCAATGCCTTTGTTTGCTACAGTAGTATAGGAAAGAAGCATGTAGCTACTGTTTTCCCCATATTGGAAAGTTTTTATTTTCTAAAGTATATACAACTTTTAATGCAGAGGATTAGCTTCAACGATCTAAGTGCACCTAAGAATGAGAGAGTGCTCAGGAAGTCAATTGAGTTTTGAATAGCATTGAGTGGGTCAGCATGAAAACTCGCTTATTCACTTTAGCACGCGCTTCACAGTATATGTACTGTACTATACTGAAAAATTTATAACTACAGTCTAAAAGAAGAAGAACCAAAAGCAACTGCAAAGATAATGTACAACTATGTTATGCATAGCACATTGCTTGTTCTAAGGGGAAGCATATGAGCATCTCAGTTTATACAAAAAGCAGGACGTAACTATATAGTTGTCAGTGCATCCTGGTGAAGGCATTATAGCCCTCAGCTTTTTAAAAAATTTATTATAAGCTAGATGCTAATCAGAAAATATTTTGTATTTTTTCTTAAATTTCTTCAATACATGGTAAAGACTTTTATTTCCCCAAATAGTGATTTAAGCATCATACAAAGTTAAATTTAATAGTATACAGGTATTTATGATTTTTGTATGAAAAATGTAAGGAAATTTGTTCAAATCCTATGGTTATACTCATTTTTACCACAAACATATTTATAAACAAAAATGTAGCATCACCATAAACAGCTGAAGCTAGACTATCTACAGACAAAATTAGCAACAAATCTGATGCACTGTAAATTCAAGTCCTCAGGACAATGAAAATGAATAAGCAGACCTCAAGTAACAATGTTAATGCCATTTACAAAGGAAAAAACTCATACGAAAACATTCAAAATCTGAACATCACTTGGCAATGTAAGTCAAAAATAAACCAAAACCAAAATTAGCTGAAAGGTTCATAAACGCAAGGTCTTATTTACATTACACAAAGCTCAGGTGTTAGCCTTGAACGTAACTTTCAAAATACTTTCAATTATATCCAACTCAGACTGCTTTTGCTGATTTGCTGAAGTGCAAATCATGTGCAACGTCTTTTCTTAAGACAAAACAATTCTTCAAACAATACTGCAAGTACATCACTAAACACCATGAGCTCTATCTGAAGGGAATTCTTTAGGAAGAACAGATTTTTTTTTCCCCCATCTCTCGGTAATTTAAATTTCTTGCCTGCTCATATATTTTTTTTTTAAATTTTCATTTGTTTCAAAATCACAAATTAATGTGAGCCACCTATCACATAATAACCAGGATGATCAGAGATTTCACTGATGATTACAAAAATGAAACCAACAGTGTTTCCCATTGATTCTACTTCTTAATACAAAGGTCTCAAAAGTATTTCTACATCATAAATCTTTCTAAATTTTCCCCCAACCATTGCAAATTTCCTGGTAAGTTTTAAAAGCTCACTAGGTGTCATATGAAGAGATTTCTCAAAGTATTCAAGTCAAAATATTTGTTCCAGGACCAGTAAAAAGTTTCTCCAAATTTTTCTTTTTTATAAAAATAGATGCTTTTTTTAAACCCACATCAAAGAGGCTCTTATCTCTTTGGCAAGGTACTGCTTTACGAAAAGTTCTCCAGTATTCTTACAATAAGCTTTTATTATAATGTACCCCCCATCCCCAACCCAAATCATAATTACAAAATAAATACTGTTTATAACTTTATAAATAAAATGTAAACTTCAAAATACTTTTCTTGAACAGACAAAACAGCAATGCATTAAATGTAAATTAAACACAAAGCTAATCAGGAAAACACAACATAAAACAACCAAGTTAGGGATTACAACACAAAGCCTCAATATTTACTCACAGGTTCAAGGCAGTTATGTAAAAAGAAAAGAAACTTCTTCCCTTAGCTGAAACATTTTAAAAGGTCCACCTTCTTCAAAGAAGGCAATAGAATGCATTGTGACAGGTAAAAACCCTGTACCTCTTGTCCATATTCAAACATAAAAGATATTTAAGAAGTTTTAATTCAAATACTAGCAATAAAAAAATCTCACATATTCTTAGGATGCTAAGTAGTCATTTTATCCCCATTTCAACACTGACTTACAAAGACATTGACTAATGTATAAAGTTTCTCTTAACTTGCCTTTGTTGTATAGTTTTCATATATAAATGGATTGAGGATAACTCATTAGGCTTTGTGCGTTTTGTTTGTTTTAAAGGAGACCTGCAAGACTCTGTCCCCAAGACGGTATCCATTCAGGCTGGCTATTGCCATGGCTGCCTCATCATAGTTTGTCATAGTCACAAATCCAAAACCTTTGCACTTGTTTGTGTTAAAGTCACGGATGACCTTCACGTTGGTTACTGCTCCGAAGGGTCCAAACATTTGCCACAGAATGCTCTCATCTGCATCAGGTGCCAAATTGTACACAAAAATGCACCATCCTGTTCCTGCATGTCCAGGGATATTAATTCCGGCCAAACTGGTCATTCCATCAATGGTCATTGGTGAAAACCTACTAAACAATGTGGGAAACAAAGAATCAAGAATAAGAATAAAAGAGGGGCTGTTTACAGTCAGTTCCCCCCAAAGCTATTTTTTTAAGCAAACAGACTATTTACAGTTTGCATGAACATTCCAACCAAATTAAATTTAACATTGTAAATTACATTCAAAGTGTACAGAGATTATGCACAATACTGAATGGCACTACACAAGTGAGGAACAGTGTCTGGCTAGAAGAAATAAACATTTAAAAAAAGAAAAACCATGCCAAAAACTTATGAGGATTAATGATAAAAAAACTCAAGAGGAATTCCATGGAATAGATACAAGAGGTTTTCCCTTTAGTGAACGATGGACTGAAATGAAAACAGTTTCAGTTGAACATCTTGACATGCAAAAGGAACCCAACATAAACCTTAAGGGAAAAAATGGTATTTACAATACTCAAATACTTTCTCTAAAGAACTAGTTTGTTGGAAAGTTATTATCAACCTAATATGATTCTTTATTACCTCTTTACTCCATAAGCCATATTGAGCAGATTGTCCAACCTGCAAAACATTTAGCAAAGTATTCAGTCTCTGGATTTTTTCCTATTCTTCTAAGGAAACTCAGTATATTATTGCCAGTTTCCTTGAACTGTATTCCACAGAATGTGTCTGCGAAGTCTGAAAGCTGCTAAGAACTGTGACATACCTTACCATACATGACGGGGTTACTGCACACATGCTCACATTTCCATCAGGTAGTCATGTGTGGAAACAAGTTTCCAGTCTCCAGATTAGTATAAAAAGCAGTCACCAGTGACCACAAGCTCACTGGAGTTCTCCAGAAAAATCAGCTTTCATACAAGATTCAGCTCTTATTGAGTGACACTGATACTATGTTGATGGGGAGCATAGACGTACCCAGATCAGTGTATATTTCTCTATTATTGACAGTTAGGAGTAGACTTATCTCAAATTATAGAAATAAAAACATGAGACTATAGAACAATTTTAATTCCACTGTTCTTGTCTTACTGAAAATTTATTTCCAGCGTAGTAAGGCAGACTTGCCATTAGCTTTACAATTTTTCCCCAGAACTTGTTAAGTAGCGGTGTTAATTCCTTCTTGCCCAGCTGCAAATCTTTTGATAAGTGGAATGCAACAAAGGCGAGGATGCCAGAGCATCCTTGAAGATTTAAAACTTATGAATTAACATCTAACCATGTGTTTCTCAAACAGTGAGGCTCCATGGAGAGACTCCAACTTCCTTCTGGGAAAACTCATGCATGCCAAGGGGGGAAAAAAACCCAGAACATTCCCTCTCTTACTTTAGTGTTTAGGACTCTACAAAATATGAATTGCCTGTACATTCAGTAAAAAGGGAGTGGTTTATTTTATGCTGAGAGAGATGTTAAAAATCAGCCAAACGAGAAAAAAAAAAAAAAAAAAAGTACCTGTCCTAGTTCACATTAGGACATCCACCCACAGTGCTCTCTTTTTAATAAGACGACCAAAAGAGATGCTTATATTGGGAAGTGCCTGAATAATGCTTATACCTCAGGCAGAAAGGCAATAAAATGTTTTGTATCAACATCTCATTGAACACCTATTTAAAGGGAGGATGAAGGTAGGGAACTACCCTCAAAGGGCAAAATGGGATTTCCCCTCCCAATGTACATTCAATAATTTTTTTCTGAGACGGTCAATGAGCACCATTTATGAAGGTGTTTTGTGATGGGATCATATCGAATAGAACATGGACTGAGATCACCAAAGCTTGTCATGTCATGCTACTGAACAGTCAAATTGCAATGTTTCAGTGTCTACTCACTTGAGTTGACTGAACCTGTAATCTAAACGTGAAATCTCAATTAATCTAGAGTCATTTATTCCCGACACAGGGTATTGTATTTGAGCTGCCTTAAGAAAAAATGGGAGTCCCAAAGAAACCTACCCCATGAGTGCTGTTCCTGAATGGTAAGAAATCTGAAATACTGTCACGTATGTTATATAGTTTTCTGAAAACTTTAGAAAAATCAGTATACTCCAAGCTTCTTCACTGCAATACATGGAGCTATGATCTTCCTAGAATATATTAGTCAAACTACTTTTAAGAAAGATTATTACAGATGCAAAACTTTGTCCGTTTATTTTTATTTTTTTTTGGTAATAAAACCAACTTAATACAGCAGTTGAAGAGCAACAGCAGGCATCTCCTAGTAGGTATTATAATGGGAAAGAAAAGGAGGCTCGTTGCTTGCTGTAACTCAAAGCTAAGCTCAGAACTGAACAAATAAAACTAAATAATATTTTCTAACTATGAAGACTAGATCCAAGTTCCCTTCAAAATAATAAATTTCACTATTACGTCACCGCAGTTTGATTTCCTATTTCCAATTTTCAGTAACCCAGAAATTCTGATCATCAAACATTGCTATAATTTATATAGTTTTCTAAAGCACAAAATTAAACGAGTAGCATAATTAAAAAATTATTTTAATTTCAAACAAAGCTACAGCCACTTCTGGCGAGGATAGGCTTTTTAACATGCAATATGATAGAGAGTTTGTAGTTTTTTGCCCACTCAGTACTTACCCAAGAACCACTAGTCATGAACTAGCATTTTGTGATCATGCTTGCTTTAATTTATGACTGGTACACCAGTAAAACCAAAGGACACCACAATTAAGTACTTTATATTCATTAGTGTCCCTTCCCCACTTATATTTCCTGTACAATACACTTCTCCCACCCTTTTATCGTACTGTGAAGTGTTTTAAAATGAACTTACAAAACAACCAAGCCAAGTTTTCCAAACATGGGCACCTAAACAGTTTAAATTTCAGAAGCATTTGACACTCACCTCCTATGTATTTCTACTGAGAGCTGAAAGTGCTCAGCACATCTGAAACCCAGGCCAATTATTTGAGTGCCTTAAACTTAGGTACAAAAGTTTAAAAAACTGCTCTAAACCTTTAAAAAAAGTCAATATATTAAGGCCGAATTTTAAACTGATATTTAATGTTGATAGAATTTTTCTATGATAACTAAGTTAGGAACAAATTTAAGGTCAACCCTCAGTAGGCATCATCTCACTGAAGGAAAGAAATTTACCACATAAGGTCTGCTCTACATTAAGATGTTGTATTGGTATAACTACATAGGCTAAAAACATCACACCTTTTAGCCAATATATTGTTATAATTGTGTTCATACTAGGGGGCTGTATTATATGCATGAATAACCAGTATAAAGCTAGCTTATACCAGTGTAGCTTATTCTCCTTCCTGTGCAGGAATAAAGCCACACTGTTATAAGCACATTTATACCAGAATAACTGCATCCACCTGAGGGGGTTTGTCCCAGTATAGCTACACAGCTGTAGTTAGAGCAGTATTACTTGTTTGTGCAGACATGGCCGTAGTAAGAATTCATGCACTGGTGAGCTTGACTTAAACTGAGTTACAGGCTCTGGATTCTACAGTGCTCCAGACTGGAAATTCAGTGAGAGTTTCGGATTAAATTTAAAAACAAAGGGACAAGATTTTCAAGAGTGATTTTGGATGCCTTGTTTTCTGGGTACTCAACACAACAGTTCAGAAGGGCCTGATAAGACAATCAGTAGAACAGAATTTCCCTTGTGTTCTTCAATTTGAAAATTTAATTAAATTTTATGTTGGCCATACATTTTCAGGATACCACCAAATTATTTATCAAAACCCATGTAACTGCACAGCAGAAGCTATTTGAGGGAAGTTTGAGAGATATTGGGGATTATGGAACCAACATATTAGCTAGATGTTTCTCGTGAAGTAATCAACAAATGAAATAAGAAGAGCTTATATACTATAATTATGTCTGCTATACAAGCCATAAGATACATAGAATGGATGTAAAATTATGACAGTTTGAAAGTTAACACCCTATTGACAAGACAGCATGTTCAGGAGGAATGAGTCAGAAGGCCCCAAATTCTAACCCTGCCTCTGCCATTGATTCATTGTGTGGCCTTTAGCCAGTAATTTCACTTTTCTGCCTCACCTTCCCCACCTGTAAAAATGGGGAAGACCATACTTATCCAGCTAACTCAGAGCTTGTGAGATTCAATTAGTTAGTGTCTATAGAGTGTTTTGAACACAAAATATTACAAAAAATATTATGCCTTATTGTTGGGTTTGATAGGAATGAATATTTCCCTCACAGCAATTGTTTCAGGCTGCTTTCAGACACAAGCAGACATCACTGCATCTGTTTGCACTCTTTCTGCAACCATATCAACTAGGAAGAGTATTTTATATTAAACCTGCAAAATTATGTTCCAGGATATAAGAACAGGATAAATTCCATAGCTGTGGAACACATGGGGTCCTTTAGGGAATAGTAATAGCCGGCATTTCCCTATTATTCACATAACTAGATGAAAAGACTGGGACAGACACCATGATCACTATTCAAAAGCAAGGACTTACAGATACTACACGACTGGTATTAGAGATACTTCAGTTATAATGGCTATAATAAGAAAATAGACTTTTTAATGGAAACAACTATCTAAAATAGGAGTGACTTGGGACTTTGATGGCCAATCTTACCAGAAGGTGCTGAATGCCACAACAGAGGCCTGACAGAGGCCTTGACAGCAAGAGTTATTTACCTCTGTTTTCAGGTCCGCAAAACAACTCCCCCATGATCTTACTTCAGTACAGTGCATTCTGGGATGTGTCGTCTTAGCAGTGCAATTTCCACTCCTGCAGTCAGCACTGGAGCAGGCAGTCTGCATATGGAAAAAGGGCAAGTCTATTTTTATTCAATATTCAGCGGTTTTCTGCAGCTTAATAATCTTTTTATACCCTAGTTAAGGAAATCCACTGAATACTGAATTAAACCAGTTACCCTTTCCCCTAAGACAGACTGCCTGGTCAGCACTGGAGCATTACTGGGCAGGGGGGCACTTCATGTCACCAGCACTGAATGCCAAGAGGTTGTGGAGCTGTGTGACTGTAGTCGCTGGTGAGCTGCTTAGCAGAGATGTAAATAAACATTAAGAACGTCTGCCAAAAATGTGGTCTATGATGTTTGTTTGGGCATTCAGCCTTCTAGTGAGTGTGGCCAGCTTGCAGCTTTTGTAACTGTGTGCACACTTTTCAAGGAGATATCCGCTGATCCAGTTTTTACTTAGAGAGAACAGACTGTTTTTACTGTATATTTAAGCTTTTCAATGTTTAATGCATTCTAGTCACACACCCCAGGAAAATAAAAAAAGCAAAAATCACTGAAAGAAAAAAAAACCATCGGGTTTATGAATGTAGATAATACAGTATTTGTTTCACTCTTCTCACCATCTGTCCTTTTCGATACACTAAATATCACTGAGAAACATTTATGGCTGTAAACTCAAAAGCATGGGAAAAAAAGATGCACAAAAAAATACACACCACACAAGATATGTGGCAACATTAAGTGTAGGGTCAAACAAGGAGATATACGGCATGCAGAATTAAGATCTCTTAACTAGAAACAAAAAAGTAAGTGAAAGGTAGGATGGGGGGGTTGTGTTTTGGCTCTGGCACACCATATGGCCAAGGAGGAAGTTAAATTGTCTAAACCAACGTTAACTGAATTGACTTGCTTATGAAGTCAATAGTACTCTAAGAAATTAAAAGTAACTTTAAAAATCATGATTCTCTAGTGATGCCGGCTTGGGAAAAAAATATCCTGGCTTAACATTAAATGTTGCTAATTAAATAGTTTACTAGATATTTAGACTCTGGTCTGGTTAGATGACAGTGCTTTCTAAAACAAATTGTTCTGCACCATGCATTTGAAAGACTTTCAAAAATATGAAGTCTCTTATGAAGGGCGGGGAGGGAGCTCACTTCAGGAGGAAACTGAAATGGGTAGGCCCATGGGAATTCCAGAATTCAATGGTTCAGCCATAAACGTAACGTATTTGACTTACCTAAAGCGTTGAGCCTGCTGAGCTAGAGGTCCTGGATACCTTCTGTTTGGAGACTGATACAGCTGGGAAAGGATGGCCTGATTGGTTTTTTGGCTTGGATTGTTAGCAAACTTTACGGTGATTGGCTCTGTGGCACCTGGAGGCTTCTGCCCATTCAAACCTTTGATCGCTTCTTCTGCCTCAATCCGCTTGTCAAATCGGATGAATCCTACACCTCTTGATACCCCTGCATAGAGCAAAAGAAGCACACGTTGATTCATTAATTCAGGAGACTTGTAGAATGCCCAACATTAGGAAGATTAAATGTAAGTTTACAGGTTACTATAAACAAGGAACTTCCAGCAGCAGAGATTCAGTTCTGGTAACTAGTACAAAATGTGAGACTTTTCTAATCCTATCAATTACAAATACAACAGGCCACACAGTACATCTGAGGCCAGTTTGTATGCAAAGGAGATTGGGGAGGGGAAGGGAATTCTAGCTGTGACAGGATTCAAGCAGTTGGGGGGGGGGGGAATTCTGAAGTAATGTCAGTTGATTCCAGACCAGGGGTGGGAAAACTTTTTGGCCTGAGGGCCACATCGGGTTTCCAGAATTGTATGGAGGGCTGGTTAGGGGAGACTGTGCCTCCCCAAACAGCCAGGTGTGGCCTGGCCCCCGATCTAACCCCCCGCCCCGCTTCTCGCTCCCTGACAGCCCACCCCGGGACTCCTGCCCCATCCACCCCAACCCCCTGTTCCCTGTCCCCTGATCACCCCCGGAACCCCCACCCCACCCAATCCCCTCCCCTGGGACCCCTGCCTCATCCGACCACCCAGGGGTGCACTGGAGAAAGGATGCCTACAATAATTGTGCCATGTTCAAGACTGAAGTACAGATTCTGGGTTGCAACAATGGGAATTTCTGCTATTTTAATATTCAGTGTTCATGTTCCTATAAACTTGATGCATGATTTCAATATTTCACTGCACAGCATTTTATCTCCCTCAACAAAAGCCTATTTCCAGCTTTCCTTGTCTATAGATTATTTAAGATATATATTGGGGAAGGGAAGCGGCGAGATGGAAACATTTGGTGCGGGCAGGAAGCAAGGAGAGTACTAATAGTAAAAAGAGGGAAGGTCTAAGGAGCACATTAAACCTCAAACAAGTGGCTTAAAATGAATTTAGTTTACTTGGACAAATTAACGTGAATGGGAGGAAAACTGCAATTATTCATAGGCCTATTGCATTTTGTTTCATCAGTGAAAGGACAAGGAAAAGTTAGAAGTTTGCCCACAAGCTCTTTTTGAAATTATTTTTAAGGAAAAAAATATTCTATTAACAATGACAACTTAACATCAAAATGGCAAGGAACAAGAGTAAGGAAGTTTAAAGAGCTGAATGTCACAGGCTCAACTTTGCATTTCTTATCTGTCAGTTTGTGTCACAACATTATTATTTAGATCATTTTGAATCTAACTCTTCCCTTTACCTTTAGAATAGTGTGAAAAAAATACTTAAAAGGCTGCACAATACTTCTCTAGGATGAAAAACAGTTCTTACATTAATTCATATGAGAATGTGTATTTAGGGTCTTCTACCCACTGTATTTAGGGTGTACTACACACTATATATTTATAGATTTTACAAGTCTATTCACCTGTTTGTTTTGGTACCAGATCATACATGCTATTTGCACATGAATACTCATGAGAAATGTAATGAGTATTTAGTGGATTGTTTTTAGGGCTTGGGACTGGGAAACTGCATATTCTAATTCTGGCTCTACCACAAAATTGGTGTTTCACTTGGGCAGATTGCAACACGCAGTTTTTCCAGCTATAGAATACCTACATGCAATTGCTAACTAATTATCGATAAGTTTGCACAAACTATTAGACATAAAACATACTAAATTTGGTGTTAGAACTTTGTTGAAAGCATGAGTTTACTTTTCTTTTATAGCTAATTTTATATCCTGTTTAGAGAACAAATTAGAAAGGTCAAAAATGTTTCTTTCCCACAATTTTGTCAAACTACACTGACATTACAGTTGGAATTTCCATCCACCAAACTGACACTATGGGGGTCAATGGGATTAGAAAGGAAAAAAAAGACTTGAAATGGTCAGGGGAACGAAAGGGACTGAAAGGTTTTTGAGAGGAGAATCCTTCTCTATGCCCCAGCCCTTGTTGTACATTGTTTAAATACAGTCCGTGAAAACGTCTCCTTTTTTATTTGATATTCTGTGCCACCCTTTAAAGAACAACTTTGGTGTAGGCAGAAGATATACTACTTCCGAAATTCAAGTCAGCCAGTTGAACTGTCATGAGTATACAGAAAAATTACGCATACTATCCAAATCCGACTAGTAAAAAGATGCCATTGGACATTTTGTGCCATCCAGCCTGTATCGGAGGTACATGCTAAAAAAAGTATCTAACCTACCAGAGTTCCTAGTTTGCTTTTAGTCTGTGCTAGCACTGCTAAGGAGCTGATAAATTCTGTACGAAGGATCTCAAAGTTCATATTCTTCTTTGTGCCCACAGTAGACAATGCAACCTTGAAAACAGTCTTAACAGCAATTACCAGTTCGGGTCTTGTGTAATCCTAGCCTGAGAGAACTAGCTGTGCATTACTGCATAAAATTTTGCTTTTTATAAAAAGATTGTTTATTAGCATTTTATAAGGAGCATAGGGACCATTTTCACGCAGCAGCTTGGAAATGAAGATTATAGCAGCTGTAAATTTATTACAAGCCATGAAACAGGCTTCAAACCTGCACCTTCAGGGTAGAAATGACTCAGGCTGGCTCACTACACTCCACAATCTATTTTTGTCCATGCATATTTATGAACAATTCCAGCAGCAAATTGTATTTTCTGGCCCACATATACCTTTGATATGTTCTGGAGGCAAGTCTGCTGCCTTGGAAGGTGGAATATTTCACAACCTGCCAGTCTGAGAAAGTGAAAGAGGCAGTGCAGAGCAGCTGCCTACTTACCAGTGACTTGGTCAACTAGAATACGAGAAGTAATAATGCGTCCATATTGAGAAAAGAGCTGCTCCAGTTCCTTCTGGGTCATTGTTTTTGGAAGTCCACTGACGTACAAATTTGCATCTCTGATAGAAGCTGAACTTGGTCGCGCATAGGAAACCTTGGGAAAGGGAGGGTAATTTATTTTATTTTATTTTTAAAAAACTACTCAGACCATGACTGAAATGGGACAAAAAAAATTGCGCCTCCCACTTATTCAAGTGACTACAAGGTAATTACAAAAATACTGCTCAGTGAGCTAAAACTTATTTTCAAATGTTGCCTTAAGTGTCAAATAATCAAAAGAGCACCACAAGGCAAAGGAATAGGGTTTATTGAGTATCCCAGCCAGTTAAGTTGCAATTTAAAGCCGTATTCCAGAGTAAAGGAGAAGAGTTGTGTGTGTGAATAGACACTTAAGCCGGATGTTGGAATAAAAGTGCTCTTTTGACACTAGTTTAAGCCCTTTAGTGATAAGATTAAAACAGATAAATATCCTATCTATTTCTTTATCAGAAAAATCTGTTCTATTTTTATCCATTCAGTTCAATCTCCCTACACACTAAAAATGCAAGAATTAAAGTTGCTTTGAGTTCAATGCCATAGATGCCTTAAGAAAGGCAATCCAACACATTGGCAGCTTTGCTACTCCAGTATTGAAGGTGTTGCCCTGCTCCTCTTGCACATTTGTCTGACTCCCCCAAATAAAATACAATCATTCCTAAATGTCAGAACTAGATAAACAGGGCTAAAACTGCTAAATTTTATAACTCTATTTTTAAGAATAAGTAGCCAGGGTGGGCGTATACCATACTAGTTTTTTGCACATTTTGAAACAATGCTAGGGTCCCACAACCAAATCTGATAGTCTAAATTCTCCAGATTCTCTTGGACATCAGATATTGGGAAACTCTAGCCAGTTACTTTAAGAAGGGCTACTCAAGACACCTACTACAATGGGGATAAACATTTCTGCCAAGGTTTTCAGGACTATGGCCTAAAATCAGGCTCCTAAATCCTTAAGCCCTTAAAGAAGCAGCCTGATTTCCCAACATGCTAAGAATCCAGCACTCCCATTGAAATCAACATAGCTGAACTGTCACCTTTATTGCTAAAAATCACATTAAAATCAAAAGTCTGTACAAACAGGGCACGAGGGGCAGAATGTATCATTTGGCACCTTTCCATTTAGGGTGCCTAGAGAGGTTACATTTTATCAATCTGGATGTTCATTTCCTCCCCCCCACCCGTTATTTGACATTTATCCAATCCCCTCCCCCCCAAAAAACCAACTTTATTTCCATACAGCCCAGGATCTCTGTGACAAGACTACAAACACAGCTACTCATTAGGTATCATAAATCAATGATTTTTAAAGTGCCCACTAGGAGCTAGACTACAAGGGAGACTTTAAGTAACACTACCAGCACCTCAGTCAAGTGGAAGTAATTAAATAGTAGTCTCATTTTGGCATATAGAAAGCAGTCACATTTTGCCAGCTAGCTGGAACCAGCAGCAGTAAGCTTAACTTTTATTAAAATCAAAATAAAACATTTCACTGATACTTTGGTCAGTTACTATACCACCAAATGAAACAGTTTGTCCATTTGCATTGGTGAGGGCAAGCCTGCCAGCAGAAATTTAAAAGCAGATTTTGTTAAATTGTAGCATTAGCTTTCCATTCTTGTCACCCAATAACCTCCATAGTGATAAAAATCCCTATCGCAGTGGTTCTCAAACTTTTTTTCACGGTCCACTTGAAAACTGCGGAGGGTCTCGGCGGACCACTTAATGATCTTGCCAAATGTTTGTACCGCTAAGTATTGTAAAGCGCTTTGGATAAAAGCACTATATAAAAAAACTCCTTAATAATTAACTTTTTTTGTTCTACAAATAAAAGCACACAACTCATTTTAATATCAGTAGTCTACCTTTCGAATGCGATGGATGTGCCCTCTCCTCCCTGCCGCGACAGTCCCCAAGCTGGGGCTGGGAAGGAGGGCCGTCTCTCCACGGCAACCACAGCCCTGGAGCTGGGGAAAGTCACCTTTCTCTGGCCGCCGCAGCCCTGCATGTCCCAAATTCCCCCCACCCCCTCTTCTCACCCCACTGCCCCCTCCCACTTACCCCCTATTCTCCCCAAGGCCACCACATCACCTTACATGTGCGTCTTCTCCAGGCACCTAATTAGTGGAGCCACACCTGCATGGCTCTACTAATTAGGTGGGTGGCCCTTTATTTTCTCTTGTGCGGCTGCCCAGGCGTGCACCTTAGAGGGAACTATCCACGGACCACCTGAATGGAGCTCACGGATCACTGGTGGTCCATGGACCACAGTTTGAGAACCTCTGCCCTATCGTGTGTCCATGTAGGACTACTTTCAGGCATCTCCTACTGCACCGAGTATTTATTGCTAGACATTTCACATGGGGAAAATGTCTAGAATGTCTGTAGTCCTGTAACCTGTGCTAGTAAGCTAATCGAATGGCATCAAGGCTACAGTAGTAAAAATCGATTACGATCATGTCACAGTATTAGGTAAGGTAAGTTATCCACGGCATTGGTAGAAATTTTACCAAACCATTTTACAAATGTTTTAAACTAGACCAACACAAGAGCAGAGATGAGAAGGTAGGGTAACAGGCACTTCAAGCACAGGATGTTCATTTCACACATTGCAGAATTCTCGTTTCTTAACAGCCTCACATAGGGCAGATGAAAAATTTAAGAAGTTGCTATGGAAAGGCAAAATTTATTTCCTATCTGTAATTCTGTTCCCCTCCTATTGATTCACTAAGCAGTACAGGAGTCAACTTTATCCATTTTAGAGGAATGGAGGCATGTTTTTTATTTTGGGGTGAGAAGGACACGACTGAAGTATCGTATATACTCGATCATAAGCCGGTTAGTTTATAAGCCAATCCCCACCCCCTAAGATGGATAAGTAAAAATGGAAATTTTTTATAACCCATTCAGAAGCCAACCCTATAATTCAGGGGTCAGCAAACTATGGCTCCCCGGCCATTAAGATAAGCCACTGGTGATACAAGATGGTTTGTTTACCTTGAGTAGCCGCAGGCACGGAGGTAAACCTAAATAAACAAAGTGTCCTAGCGCCAGCTGCTAACCCTGACAGGCTGGGACAGCAACTGGTAGGGAAATTTGTTTGGGGGGAGAAGCTGGGAGTCAGGGGGAGTAACTCCTGTGACCACCCCCAACGTGACCCCACCACTAGCCCTGGACCCCCAAACTCTCCCCATCCCATCCCTTCCCACCTTATCTGGGGAGGGCCAAGGGAGGATGTCTCTGACCTGGCTGGAGCTGCTCCGGCAGGCTGGGCAGCGCAGCTGCAGCATGTTCCAGCGGGCTGGGCTGGGCGGCGCGGCCACAGCCTGCTCCAGCGCCCGGGCAGCACGGCCACAGCCTGCTCTGGGGAGGTAACACCGAGTGACCCAGGCATAAGCTACTACAGGGCTGACTTCTGGAGGCTGTAGAGAGGATGGAAGAATAGCTCATAGGGGACTCAACTGTTTCAATAATCTCAGGCCAGCAGGGAGCCAGGCAGATGGACCCCAAAGGAGTCCGAGCGGGAGTCCAGTTTACAGCCAAGGAGTAGGGGATTGAGTTGTCTAAGCTGGCCAGCCTGTAGAAGAGCACAATAGCCAAAGCTCAGAGAAGTAGGGGCAATGAATTGCTGAAGCTAGGTACAAGCTTCCTTTGCACATATTTGGGGGGTGAGAAAGAGGTGATGGCCTGGAACACATAATGGGATCCAAGACCCAGAGAGTGGGGACAGGCTGCCTGGAAAGCACTGCAAAAACAAAAAAATTGTGAGAAGCAAATCACTGTTGTAAACACACTGATGAATTTTACATCTATGAGAATTTTCAGCTGTGAATCCCAGCTCTGAGAACACATGGAGAGGGAGAATGGTAATGAAGGGCCTTTTGTGACTATAGAGTGAATTAACTTTGCTAAGGAATTCAGTCCCTTTGTGCTGAGGTGCACTCCTGGCCCCGAGTCAGTAATGGACTGACAAAAGGTACTATTAGCTGTGTTGCCTTATTGGGACACTTCAGCCCCAATTTGATGTTTCTCCTTTGTCACTAGATGAGGGAATCCCATGCTAAACTAAACATCTACAATACTAGGCATATACAGAGACGCTCTATCCAAAGTAGTGGCTCCATACCAAGTTTAAAATTACAGGTGAAAAACAAAGTTTTGCCTCTCGCCTGCATTGGATCCATTGCTCTAGACAGACACCAGCCCTCACAGGAAGTAGCAAGCAGTGACACATCCATACACAATGTAGGGAAAGAGTAATAAAATAGTCTAACACAAGATAAGTCACTACAAATAAAGGAAAGAGGTGACTATAGGTCAGATATCTCCCACCGAGAGGTTTCTACAAACCATAATTAGCCCAACATTTATAAATATGCTGTTAAGTCTATTCAATTAGCTTTGAATTCCAGATATTTCTACGTCTCTATAAATAGACATTCTTTAATTGTTTATCTACTGCCTGAACCATGGAGAATGACAACTCAATTTTGTACTGCTTAAAAAAATATATATATATGCATTGAAGACCAGGCAGCACTTTTGCACGTACAGTTAACAGCTGATATTTCTCCATCCAAGACACTGCACAGTGCCCCAATGTTTGTACTCAGATTTGTTTGTAGGATCTGGCGAAAAGCAGAATGGCATTATTGCTTCCAAAACAACAACAACAAAATCACTAATAGCAGCCCTAAGGCAATGGCCTCCCTGCTTGCGACCTCCTTGGTAATCCTGGGAGGGGATGTAACTTAGCGTCAGATGCTAGAACTGCCTTTGGCTGACACCCCTCTCTTCTCCCAACATCCTCAATTCACATTGTGCCATCAGGAGGCAACTAAGCTGCTGGCTACAGGAGTAGGTAGGGGGAGGAAAGGTAGGAATAAACACTGGGTGAATAGAAAGGGGGATTTCTAATGCTAACGGCATCTGTTTCAAGCCTACACTTCATGCTTTCCAAGTGTGAGCGAAAAAAATGGAGGTAAACTAGTTTAATAGGAGAAAGGAATCCCATACATACGGCTCAGAGAGAGGGAAGAGATCTGCTCTATGCCA